CGAACGATACTTAGCAAGCTGCCTTGACAACTCGAACCATCGGCGAGGATTGATCTGGGTACCAGTACAATTAGCCTCCGCTCATGATCTCGGTCACACGGCCAAGGACGCCGCATCGGCACGTCGCTAATCTACAATTGCCCTTCCACACGCGCCAACTCGTCAACGTGGCTCGTAAAGCATTCAACAACGTATGCTAGTACATCAGTAGCTGCTCCAGGTGTACTAGTACAGGAGGTTTCTGCCCTTTTATGCCGTGAACGAACAGGAGCCAGAGGGTGCGTCTCCGTGGACACAACTGCAGCAACTCACCGACCACATATTCGCGTAGTACGGTACGGTATTGACAAGATTGCCGAAGGATGTACTTGAACTCTATCCATCACGAGGCAGTAATCGACTTGCGTCCTCAATGACGTGGGAATATGATCGCGATCGGCCGACACGAGTGCCGTTGCTTGCACTCTTGCGCACGGCTTGGCTCAATAATGGGGGTGGCTAATAACTGGCGACGCTGCATCGAGTGGCGTTGCAGCAAGGTCCGCGAAAACACGTCCAAAAAGCCGTGCAGAGCGATGTGTCGCGCGTTCGAAAGCCGGACGCTTCCCGGCAACCAGTATTGGCAGGAATGTTCAGTGCAGACAATGATATTACTGTGCATTGTTGTACTTGAGGTCTAGCTGCTACATTCAATATCGCTCTCAATATGAACAAGTCCTGTGTATGTATAAACCCCCTCGGACCGCAACGCGCCGAGCATCGGCATCGCTCGTGCGACAGGCGCAATTCCTGTTGCCGTTTCGGCGAAGCAGAACGCAATGTAGAAATCGCGCCATCTTGATACTACGCTTCCGATTGGCGGACCAGATAATCTTTCAGCCAATCACCGACGTCCCACGCATCCCGCTCGGACCGGCTACTTCTCATGCGGTTCGACGATCCGAGACGCATGTAATACAGTGCAAGAACCCACCATCCTCCGCGCTTCTCTCTGAGCGTCCTGCGTCCTTCTCGACCTCGGCGCTGCTCGTATATTGGACGCGGTCGATGATGCTAGTTTCCGGTGCCGTCGTCGTGTCCGGATAGCGACGGAAGAGGCTCGGGCGCCAGGTTTGTATGGAGTCCTGCTGTTTTCAGGCAGACCATGTCTACGCTCGGGACGTTGAGCTTGTCCTTGCAGAGGCCCTCCCAAGCGTAGAACGTGCTACAGTGCACGCCACCTGTACCCTACCAGATGAATGTGGTCCAAAACTTTTGAATCCTAGCTCTGAGTTCTCATTTTTATACCAAAAGGACGTTATAGATCGACTGTTCTGTCCAAGACGAAGAGATGTATAAGAGCCGATCGCAATGAAACGAAAAACTGACGAAGCTATGGGCGTTCAAAGTTGGGCATCACAGGACCACGGGGTCCGAAATTGTTACAAAAATTGACCGGATAACATGGAGCCCCATCCGGATAAGCCCCACCGGCGCCGGATGAGGTGTAATTATCCGGATGTCGAGCTCTCTCGGCCATTTTCCATGCCTCGGAAGACCAAGCGAGACCTGCACTTGGAGCACGCACGCAAGGCCCGAAAGCTGGACTGCGCTGAGGCCGTCTCCGCAGCACAAGGTACTTTGCGCTAGGACAGCTTTCTACAACTGACTATTGTATCTAGGCCCACCCCTGGAGCAGGAGGAGACGCTTCTTGACGACGGCATCGAGGTCGACGACTCGGAGGACGACAACTCAGAGGACGAAGACTTCTTCATGGTCACAGGCAACATCAACGTCGACGAGGGTCCACGTGAAGAAGGTCCAGATGAAGAAGAGACTCCAGTTGTTTGGACCATCGCGCACGATGACAAGGCTGCGCAGCGCAAGCGAGCCGCGTGCGTCGGCACCAGATGCTTCCTGTGTTCGAGGCCCTGCACCCGGATTGCGTCGGCGTCTTTCTGTTCGACAACACCACCAACCATGGTGCTTTTGCTGCCGACGCGCTCAATACGTCAAACATGAACCTCAACCCCGGCGGCAAGCAACCCAAGCTGCGCGACGGCTGGTACGAGAAGGATGGCGTGCGTGTCACGCAGTCGCTGGTCAAAGCTCCCGACGAAACGCCCAAGGGTATCAAGATCGTACTCCAGGAGCGGGGCCTTTGAAGCGCCAGCCTCAGACTCGACACGGCCAAGGACCTCCTCGGATCCCAGCCCGACTTCACGTCCCAGAAGGGCTGCGTTGAAGAAACCATTGAGGCTGCTGGGCACGTCGCTCTCTTTCTGCCCAAGTTTCACTGCGAGTTCAATGTCATCGAGATGTACTGGGGTGCCCTCAAGTACTACTGCCGAGAGCACTGCGATTACTCGTTCGCAAAGCTTCTCCCGACGATCGAAGCTGCCATGGAGCACGTCACGTTAGCCTCCATCTGTCGCTACGCCAGAAAGTGCTGGCGGTACATGGACGCCTATCGCTAAGGCCTATCGTTGGAGGCAGCGGAATGGGCCGTCAAGAAGCAACGCTCACATCGGCGTATCAACATGTCGGTGCCAGACAAGGCGTAAACGATAGCTTCAAGACCATAAATAGCACCGCTGCGTGATTCATAGCCTAACTCGATGCTTTCAGATAATTTTGCCTCTTGTCCGGATCCGGATAACACCGGGTCGAAATTGTTACAAAAAGGGCGATTTGGTAGGCTACAGGTGGCGTGCACTGTACAACCGCGGTATACGATGACTGCGCCGCCACCTAGCATACGAAATACCTTGTTGCCAGAGTTACTTCAGAGCGGAACTATGCGACAGATTCCAAGGTAGAGTGGCACTAGACAACACCACACAAATTAGCCAAAACGTTGATGGATTATGCAGCTTAAAGGCAAGTATCAACACAATGCCATGGCATCGGGCGCTACAGCGGCGTCGAGCGGCATTAAGCACGGCGCAAACGCGAGGACGACCGGCTGCCCGAGACGGCCGTCGCACTCCATATCTTGTTTTCGAGCTTGCTCTTGAGATAGCAAAAGCCGTCGTTGATCGTGAAGCCGGCACAGCCACCCGTT